TGTCTTCGGAAGCGTAATCAAGCATATCGGTTAAGTCCTCGATAGTGGCTATGAAGTGGGTGGTGGGTGGGATGTAAAATTCCCCACTCTCAGCCCCTAGTGTGGGTTGGGCGTAGTTTGGCAGCGGTTCTTCTGCAATGGCGAGAGATCGCATTAAGTCCAGGGCCTCGTTTAAGAGTGAGGTTTGGACAGGGAAGTAAGAGTCCGTGGAGCAGGGCGGGACAGAAGTTCCCTAGCCAAGCTCATATGATGTGGATCTCAAGAGTTCAGAATTGGTGTCCGGAGGCGAGTATGGCTCCATGTGGATAGCGGGGGACTGGCGTGACTCCAGGCCTGCCGGTGATGCGATCCTCTCCAGTTCTCCGGCGTCAGGCTCTATAGCTGCACAGAGTGCGGTGGGCTTTAAACTCCCGTCTTCGGACCTGACGGTGTGCTCTGGATCTAAGGCCAGAGTGATGATTAGGGTCGCGAACCCTTGGAAGATCAAGTCTCCTCGGATGTCAGCGATGTAGTTCAGATTTCCAAAACTAATCTGATGACCAGGGTGTAGCTGTCGATCTGCTCCAGATGGCCAATCGAGTTGGCGCATAGTGCGAAGCCGCCGAATGCGAAGATTTGGCCAGGGAGAAAAGTCTCCCTCAAGGCGGTATTGTTACAGATGATCGATGGAGCCATCGAGCCTTCCAGCGACGGCACAGTGGAACTCTCAAATGAAAGCACCAATGTCGGTGTCAAAACCGGTAGATCTCGGGTAGGGGGTCCCGAACTGTGCGTCTAAGGATCGAAGGTAACAGGAGGTAGGGGACATGATGTTTACCCAGGTTCGGGCCCTCTTAATGGAGATAATACCCTACTTTCCTGCTTGATTGAATTTCATGAGTATAGGGGTTACAGGAGTTGATCTACCTCGAGATCGTAATGGCTAAACCCTAGATGTCTAGCCTGTATGACTGTTCTCCTCCCTATGGACTACACCCTCCAGTTTATATAGGCACCGGAGGGGACTAGGGTTGTACAAAGTCGGTTTATAGAGGAAGGAAACTATACATCCGGACGTCAAGCTTGCCATCCACGCAAAGGAGAGTCCCATCCGGACACGGGAGAAAGCCTTCTATCTCGTATCTTCACGGCCCATCCGTCTGTCCCATGTCACATAGGTCGGCTCCCCGAGGACCCCACAGTCCAGAATTCCCTCAGGGTGGCAGCCAGGGGCGCCCCAAGTAGGTCGAATCCTACTTGGGGTCTCTCCACAATTCACCCCCCCCCCCTTCCTTATTTGTCGGAGAGGAAGGAAAGAGGAAGG